GCAGTCTACCCCTCCCCTCCTCTTAATTGGGGGGGCCTTGGGGAGAAAACCCCCCCGCCTCCCCCCCAAAGGACTTATATAAATGGGACGAAGCAACGCCCAGCAGTGGAGCCTCCAGGGGAAGGGACAGTCTACCCCTCCCCACCTCTTTACAAGGCTTGATTGGGGGGGGGCTTGGGAGAGGAACCCCCCCCCAGAAAAGGGCTTATATAAGGGGAGTCTACCCCTCCCCTCCTCTTAATTGGGGGGGCCTTGGGGAGAAAACCCCCCCCCGCCTCCCTCCCAAAGGACTTATATAAGGGGAGAAGGAGTGGAGCCTCCAGGGCAAAGAGCAGTCTACCCCCCCTCCTCTTTACAAGGCTTGATTGGGGGGGGCTTAGGAGAGAACCCCCACCCCAGAAAAGGACTTATATAAGGGGAGGAGTGGAGCCTCCAGGTGAGAGAGCAGTCTACCCCTCCCCTCCTCTTAATTGGGGGGGGGGCTTGGGAGAGGAACCCCCCCCCCAGAAAAGGACTTCTATAAGGGGAGAAGGAGTGGAGCCTCCAGGGCAGAGATCAGTCTACCCCTCCCATCCATAATAATAATAATAATAATAATAATAATAATAATAATAATAATTTTTTATATTTATACCCCGCCCTCCCCAGCCAAGGCCGGGCTTTACAAGGCTTGATTGGGGGGGGGGGCTTAGGAGAGAACCCCCCCCCAGAAAAGGACTTCTATAAGGGGAGAAGGAGTGGAGCCTCCAGCTGAGAGAGCAGTCTACCCCTCCCATCCACTTTAATAATAATAATAATAATATTTTTTTATATTTATACCCCGCCCTCCCCAGCCAAGGCCGGGCTTTACAAGGCTTGATTGGGGGGGGGCTTGGGAGAGAAACCCCCCCCCAGAAAAGGACTTCTATAAGGGGAGAAGGAGTGGAGCCTCCAGGGCAAAGAGCAGTCTACCCCTCCCCTCCCCTTAATTGGGGGGGGCCTTGGGAGAGGAACCCCCCCAGAAAAGGACTTCTATAAGGGGAGAAGGAGTGGAGCCTCCAGGGCAGAGAGCAGTCTACTCCTCCCATCCACTTTAATAATAATAATAATAATAATAATAATATTTTTTTATATTTATACCCCGCCCTCCCCAGCCAAGGCCGGGCTTTACAAGGCTTGATTGGGGGGGGGCTTGGGAGAGAACCCCCCCCAGAAAAGGGCTTCTATAAGGGGAGAAGGAGTGGAGCCTCCAGGGCAAAGAGCAGTCTACCCCTCCCTCCTCTTAATTGGGGGGGGCCTTGGGAGAGAACCCCCCCAGAAAAAGGCTTCTATAAGGGGAGAAGGAGTGGAGCCTCCAGGGCAAAGAGCAGTCTACCCCTCCCTCCTCTTAATTGGGGGGGGCCTTGGGAGAGAACCCCCCCAGAAAAGGGCTTCTATAAGGGGAGAAGGAGTGGAGCCTCCAGGGCAGAGAGCAGTCTACCCCCTCCCTCCTCTTAATTGGGGGGGGGGGCCTTGGGAGAGGAACCCCCCCCAGAAAAGGACTTCTATAAGGGGAGAAGGAGTGGAGCCTCCAGGGCAGAGAGCAGTCTACTCCTCCCATCCACTTTAATAATAATAATAATAATTTTTTTTATATTTATACCCCGCCCTCCCCAGCCAAGGCCGGGCTTTACAAGGCTTGATTGGGGGGGGGGCTTGGGAGAGAACCCCCCCCCAGAAAAGGACTTATATAAGGGGAGAAGGAGTGGAGCCTCCAGGGCAGAGAGCAGTCTACCCCTCCCCTCCTCTTAATTGGGGGGGGCCTTGGGAGAGAACACCCCCCAGAAAAGGGCTTCTATAAGGGGAGAAGGAGTGGAGCCTCCAGCTGAGAGAGCAGTCTACCCCTCCCATCCACTTTAATAATAATAATAATAATATTTTTTTATATTTATACCCCGCCCTCCCCAGCCAAGGCCGGGCTTTACAAGGCTTGATTGGGGGGGGGCTTGGGAGAGGACCCCCCCCAGAAAAGGGCTTCTATAAGGGGAGAAGGAGTGGAGCCTCCAGCTGAGAGAGCAGTCTACCCCTCCCCTCCTCTTAATTGGGGGGGGCCTTGGGGAGAAACCCCCCGCCTCCCCAATTAAGAGGAGGGGAGGGGTAGACTGTTCTCTCACCTGGAGGGGGGTTCTCTCCCAAGGCCCCCCCCTAGAAGGCCCAGGCGCCCTCCTCGCGTAGTGGAGCCTCCCCCGGGCAGCGCAGTCTACCGGCCTCCCCCGCCGGGCCTTGCGGAGCGGCGGGCCCTCCGTCCCCGGAGCGGGAGGGGAAGCGCCGGCCCGCGGCCCCCCGGGACTCACCGGCAAGCGCGGGGCGATCTCGGCCGAGCAGCAGTGGCAGAAGTAGCGTCCCGGCTGCGGCGAAGCCTCCGCCATCTTGTCCCCTCCTCCCTCCTCCTCCTCCTCCTCCCTGACGGGAGGCCAAGCCCCGCCCACGACGCGCCGACGACGTCACCGCGCCGGGACGGCGGCGACGGCGGCCCGCGAGGGCCAGAAAGCATCAGGCGGCAAGGCGCACGAAGCACTTCCTCCTCTGTCGCGATAGACGCAGTTGCCCTAGAGCGGCTGCTTCCGGTCGCGGAGGGGAGGCGGGATTTCCTGTGTGTGTGAGGGGAATGGATGGACTCCTCTCCAAGCGAGGGTTGCCCATAGTCATGCGCAGATGGGCCCGCGCGTCCGGAAGTTCCCGGACGCCGCCCGGGGATATCCGGGCGGCTGGCAGCCCGTGCCGAAATGTAGATTTGGGGCGGATTTCCTTGAAAATACCTCAGAAACGTCATCCCCCCCCTTTCAAAATAATACATGTATAACAGATCAACAAATAAAATAAATAAAAGGACAAAAATAAAATAAAAGAAATAAAATAAAGGACTAAAAGTAAAAGAAATAATATAAAATAAAATAAAGGACTAAAAATAAAATAAATAAAATAAAATAAAGGACTAAAAATAAAATAAATAAAATAAAATAAAGGACTAAAAATAAAATAAAATAAAATAAAGGACTAAAAATAAAATAAATAAAATATAATAAAGGACTAAAAATAAAAGAAATAAAATAAAATAAAGGACTAAAAATAAAAGAAATAAAATAAAATAAAGGACTAAAAATAAAAGAAATATAATAAAATAAAGGACTAAAAATAAAATAAATAAAATATAATAAAATAAAGGACTAAAAATAAAAGAAATAAAATAAAATAAAGGACTAAAAATAAAAGAAATATAATAAAATAAAGGACTAAAAATAAAATAAATAAAATATAATAAAATAAAGGACTAAAAATAAAAGAAATAAAATAAAAGAAAGGACTAAAAATAAAAGAAATAAAATAAAATAAAATAAAGGACTAAAAATAAAAGAAATAAAATAAAGGACTAAAAATAAAAGAAATAAAATAAAACAAAAGGACTAAAATCTGTGTCCAGATTTTCAGTTATTATTATTGAAATGCTGCCCCTCATTGTGTAAATAAAGTTCTTTTCTTTTCCTCTTTTGAATTTTTTTACTTCCTATCTTTTTTTTTTTTCCTCTTTTTTGTTCCTTTCAATATTTTCTATTCCCTACATCATTTCCTTTTTTCTTCATATGTAAAGAGATAGCACATCATGTTTGTATAGGTATGTACATTTTTAATCAGCAAAGAATTAAAATTAAATTCAAAAAAGAAAGCACACCAGTGCAAGTAGATAAATGGGTACCACTGTGGCGGGAAGGTAAATGGCATTTCCGTGTGCTGCTCTGGTTCGCCAGAAGCGGCTTAGTCCTGCTGGCCACATGACCCGGAAGCTGTACGCCGGCTCCCTCGGCCAGTAAAGCGAGATGAGCGCCGCAACCCCAGAGTCGGCCACGACTGGACCTAATGGTCAGGGGTCCCTTTACCTTTAACCACTGTGGGTTAAACCACAGAGCCTAGGACTTGCCGATCAGAAGGTCGGCGGTTCGAATCCCTGCAATGATGGGGTGAGCTCCCGTTGCTCGGTCCCTGCTCCTGCCCACCTAGCAGTTCGAAAGCACGTCAAAGTGCAAGTAGATAAATAGGTACCACTCGGGCGGGAAGGTAAATGGCATTTCCGTGCGCTGCTCTGGTTCGCCAGAAGCGGCTTAGTCCTGCTGGCCACATGACCCGGAAGCTGTACGCCGGCTCCCTCGGCCAGTAAAGCGAGATGAGCGCCGCAACCCCAGAGTCGGCCACGACTGGACCTAATGGTCAGGGGTCCCTTTACCTTTACAGGGTGCTGGGCGGTGTTGTGAAGACCCCCTACTCCCTTCCCAGAGCTACAACTCCCAGAGCAAATTAACAACCAATCCCTCTTCCCGGAGAACTGGGCTCTCCCATCGAATCTCAGCACCCGGATCCAACTACAATTCCCAGATGCATTGGGGCTGTTCAAAGTCGTATGATACTGCTTTAAATGCATATAAAGTGGTACCTTGGTTCTCAAAAGCCTTGGTCCTCAAACAACTTGGAACCCAAACCCGGAAGTGTGTGTTCTGGTTTGCGAACTTTTTTCGGAAGTTGAACATGCTCCGTTTTGAGTGTTACGCTTCCGATTGAGTGTTACGCTGAGGTCTGTCTGCTTTTGCTATTTATTTTGCATTTTCGTTTTTGCGGCTCTTTTTCGTTTTGCTTTTGTGACTGTGCGGAACACCAGTCCAGCTACTGATGGATTGATTGTGCGACTGCAGTACATTGTTTACTGCTTTCGTTTTATGGATCGATGGTCTCGTCAGACAGTAAAATCCATGTTCAACTGCTGTTTTAGGGGTTGTGTTTTTAAAAGTCTGGAATGGATTAATCCGTTTTGCAATACTTTCTATGGGAAAGCGCGCCTTGGTTTTGGAACGCTTTGGTTTTGGAACGGACTCCCGGAACGGATTAAGTTTGAGAACCAAGGTACCGCTGTGAACGGGATCTGGGAACTTCATAGGCTTCCAAAAAACAGACACAGAAAACACACACACACAGATGACAAAACCACCTTCGGATGAATCTCCTTTCGTCCTCTTTTTTCCTTTTTTAATATTTCTCCAACTTTACAAGGTTACAATCGTTTTAAATATTTCTGAAGTTTAAATACAATCTGTAATAATAATGTTATAAAATGTAAACTTTTTCAGTGTTTTTTTTATTATTTTATTTCTCTCTTAAGTCACAAAGGTTAATAATACCTGAATGTTTTGCGAAAACGTGATATTTCTTAAGGAAAAAAATAATCAACAACAACACACGAAACAAACAAACGAAAAAAACGAAACGAAAAATAAAAAGCGCAAAACGCAGAGGCTGCCGTAAACCCCCCCCCCAAAAAACGAATACCCCCGCCGTGACGAAAGGCAGCCCGCTGCTGTTTTCAGAGGTAGAATGTGGTTTATTTTTCGATTTTTATTTTCTTTCCTGAGTCAAAAGTCTACCTACGCTGTACAGATTGCATATCTTTGCTGCTCGTTCAAATTTGATTATTTCCTTTGAAGAAAAAAAACAAACACAACCCCAGAAATGGGGCGAAAAAACACACCCTGAAATTACGTCTTATTTAAAACTTGATATGCAGAGAGAGAGAGAGAAAGGAAGAAGGGGGTCTGAGTTTGCACCCCCCCAAAAAAAATCAGAACCCACCCCGCAAAAAAAACCACAGTGTTTGTACAAATGTAACACAAATCCTTTTACTACCAGCTAAAGTCTTCCCGTTTTCGCTTTTCGCAAGCGAATTAGACGTAAAATGGGGTTGCGAGTTTGGGGGGGCCGCACGGAAAATCCTTGCTTTTGTGGGAAAGGCGTAATCGAAAAACAACAAAACCCCAAAATCTTGCAGCTATTTTAAAAGGTTTTTCTGGGGGGGTCCGCAAACCCAACCTCTGCAATCTCGCTCCCGCGAATCTTGCCTCGAACGGAGTCTCTTTTGTGAAAATTTGCGCAGAAATCGAGAACCCGGAAAACGTTCTTCTTGATAGCAGGGTGCGATCGAGCGGTGAAACATTCCCTGCCCCAGTCTTCCAAAAAATAAAATAAAATAAAATAAAGGGGTTTCCCCCCCCCCCAAGCGTCACCCTGTTCTTGGGAACGCAGAAAGCCCTGGGTCGGAATTCGCACCCAGCACACCTCCAGCCACCGTCACCGCAAGCAAATCTTAATTTTATTTTGGTTTGTTTCCTGTACACCCAACCCAAACCCGTATCCCACCCGCCACCCCGACCCTCGCAGCCCCCCCCAGAATACAATCAAGATCCAGATAGCATTTTTCACGTTGCCCCTGAGTCGCCATCGAACCCTTAAAAAGCAAAATTTCTGGCCTGAGAATGAAGGAATTACGCCACGTTCCTTGAGAGACACACACACACATGCACACTTTAAGAACGACAACCCACAAACATACACACTTTTATATATATTTATATAAATTTGGATATAGAATTTCTTTCTCGCCCACCCGCGCTAAAAACTCCCCTTTCTCTCTCTCTCTCTCTTTTTTTAAAAATATGTCTAGGGTGGGGGGAAATTCACACAAACACACACACAACACACACACACACCCGGCAACAACTACTCCTTCCAACGAGGAAAGGGGGTTGCACGTCGGAGAGGAAGGGTCTCTTCTTTAGGGGAAGGCGGGCGGAGGTTCTGGGTTTGAGTCCCGACGACTCCGGCCCTTTCGCAGACGCGGAGCTGTCGACACGAGGACAGAGCCAGTCATTTGGGTAGGGTATAAATAACAAAATTATTATTATTATCATCAGACTGGTCCTGTGCACACCCCACGGCGCCCAAAGCCGTTTAAAATTCAGGTGATTGTATCGGCTTACGGCCCTTTACTTCCAAACCCAGACCGCAAAAACGCCTAAGTTCTGCGTTTCACCTCGAACCCAAGACCCTCTGCTTTTTTTCCAGACAAACGGCGGTTCACCCAACCGACTTCAAATCGTAGTTAAAAGCAACGTACGCAACATCCCTCCCAAACACCTCCCCGAAAAATAAAGGAACCCCGGGAACTGTAGTTTACCCCCCTGACGGTGCTATAGTTCCAAACACCCTCAAACTAGAATTCCCTGGAATTTGGGGGGTGTTTTTTTAAAGGGATGGCGCATATACTGCCTTAATAACAAGAGGTATATCCTATACTTTCCAAGTTTGAAGACAGACAGCTGTGGTTTAACCGGGTTCCATCGAAAGAGCCAGATTTGCGGGTTCGTAAACCGATTTTTGACCCATCTCCGCGTCTCCAGGCAGAAAGGGAGGGTTTCAAGCCTAGGATTCAACGCAGCAGCTCGAGGACCCGAAAGGAAAGAAGGCAGGACTGCCCAATGGGTAGATTTTTTAAAAATACAATTATTTTCATGAGTGGGGAAGGCAGGAAAGTCAGCGTGGGGAAGACCCACATAGCCACCAGAGAGATTGGTTTGAGGTGGGTCGACACACCTGAAAACGGAGTTTAAAAAACAAAAATACTAGGCAGATGTTGAAGGAACAGTTTGCCCCTTCTCTTCTCCCTAGATCCATACCTGCCCCACGGACGCCCTGGGTCCGTGCGAGGCCGTTTAACCCGCAATTCAAAGCAGACACTTTTGTGATCCGCGGTACCCGTACGGTTCGATTAGTAAGCTTTCCAAAAAATAGAAAGGGGGGACGGACCTGTTTGCGATACAAGAGGATTGGTGTCAGCGGTGGGATCTTGCAGGCGGTATTTCTATATATTTCCGGGCTGGGTAGCTTGGGGGCTGTATTCTGAGAACCGTCTTAACGCAGCCCCAAAATGCAACCTTGCTTTGGTGATGGGGGGTGTCGCTGCCCCGTTTCTCCCCACTGATATCAGCCGCCAATTTGGGCCCGTTTGCTTCAATGGGTCTACTCAGAGGAGGAGGTAAGAAGGGTCCAACACGCCCAGACTGCCCCAAGTCTGGGCTCACTTGCAAAGTCCTTAAAAGCACTATAGGGAGACTCAACGGCAATGGTGCCCCTCTCTCTCTTCCCTAGAGAAATAGTGAAAATGGGGGCCAGTTCAGAGGGGTGGGGGTGGGATGTTAACTGCTACCACGCTGGAAGTGGGGACCCAACGTATTCAGGGTGCAAGAAATAGCCGGAATCACATTGCCAGCTCCAAAGGGTTTTGAGGTGCGCCGAAAAACTGCCCAGAGGAGTAAAAAATCTGATTTACGGACATGTGGTTCTCTGTTTGCTGAGCGGTCGTTTCGAAAAAAGAGGAGTGGGGAAGCAAAGAGCTATTCCCGACGGGATCTGAGAGAGCTTTATTATTATGATTTAATAATAATAATAAAAGGACGCCGAATTTAAAGGCTATCAACGGCCCCTCGGGCTGGAATTCCCATTCCAGAAATTGGCAAGCGCAATTATTTATATTTTTTAAAAGCAGAATCGATAATTAAATGAAAAAACGCTCGCAGCGCTACAATTCCCAGCGCCTTGGGCAAACTACAGTTCCCGCAAGGTTGGGGAGGGGGACATCGTGTGCTTTTAATTTAATAACGCAGCCTAAAAAAAACACACCACAAAAACCACCTTAAGATATTCTCGGTTGGGCTCTCCAAAACTTTGGCCACGTTCCGAAAGCGGGAACGATGTGGACAGAAAATGTTTTTTTTTGTTTTTCTGGGTGGCAGCATCCTTTGGGGTTCGTGGAGAAGAGATATCCCTTTGTCGGTTCCTTGGCCAGCGTCTAAATATAAGGCAGGGGAGAGTTCTTTGAACGCAGGACTCAAAATAGGCTCCGGAAGAGTCACGCTCCTGGAAACCGCCGTGTTTTCCCCAAAGAGAGCTATAGTTTTCGTTAGGGGCGCCGGGAGCTGTCAGGAGACCCAGGAAATTCCCCTCTATAACATCTTAAGAATGGCATAGCAACCAACCCCTCTTCCCCCGGGGAGCCCCGGGAACTGTAGCTCTGGCGAGGGGGAACAGGGCGCTCACCCCACACCGCCCAGCACAAAACTACAGCTCCGAGAAACCACAACGGTTTCAAGGGGTATCGCAGCGCAGGGGACGAGGGCGCTCAGTGTCTACAGGGTTCGCCGCCAATCTAGAAGCCGCCCGGGTGTGTTGCGCTACAACTCCCAGAGTGCACGGCACCCAAAGTCCGGAGGGCGCTAGGTTGGCACCCAATGGAATATATAGAGATATATATTGTGGCTTTGGGGAAAATAGGAGCGAGGAGATGCACCCGCCGGTCGGAAAGCTGTTAAAATTCCTAGAGCCTTGAACAGAAAATTTAAAAACATTCCCAAGCAAATGTCTGGGTTCTACAGCCTTTTTATTAACCCCAAGAAAGAGAGGGGGGGAGAGAGAGAGAGGGGGGGAGGGAGAGTTGTCGCTATTTGATCCCAGAAAGCGACAAATTCTAAAAATCATTTTTAAAAATATAAGGAGAGAGAGAGGGAGGGAGAAGACTTCTGTTCGTTCCCGAAAGCTACCGACCGCTTAATGGTGCCAGCTGAAACAAAACAGGACTGGATCAAAATGGGGTCTCCTTTAGGGGCACAATAATCTGTTTTGTTGAGGGGGGGCCCAGTGGTCTTCTTCTCCCAGCCCCCCAAACCCCAGTAAAGAAATTAAAACCAGCACATGAGAGGACAAGGGAGTGATGGATAGATGTTTTGAGAGCCCACGTTAGTAGTAGTTGTTTACTTTGAGCGTTTTGCTGCGTTCCGTTAAAGGAAAACTGAATTTCTAGAAATATTTCCCGGGAGGGGGTCCGGCAAAGAGAAGACATTGGTGGTGGTGGGGAAAGATGTTCTGATTCAAGAATCCTCTCCAATCTGCCCACTGGGAACTGGAAAGGAGGAGAAAGGGGTACGATGAGGTAGATATGCCAACACAACAAACTGTCGTTGTTAAGTCGAGGGGGTTCTCTGGCGGCTAGCCGCAAATATTTGGACCCCCTCTTCGTCTGCATCCGAAATGGTGGGCTTCCCCCCGCCCTATATTCAAAGGAAACCACAAGTGAGCTTGGTGGGAGCATGGGGAGAAAAACCACAACCCCAAATTTTATCCTCTCCGCCAGTTGCGCCCCCAAAACTCTGCCAAAACCCCCAGCTCGCCACACTACTCCTCAGCAACACACCGTTGCGGGAAATTTGAAAGAACTGCCCGCCCTCTGCAAACTACGGTTTTCGGGATTATTTGCAAGGAAGCTCCGCGCTTCAAATGCACACGGAAGATGCGATGTCTGGAAGCTAAGTTTAAAAAATGGTTTCGTCCTGGCAAAAGCCAGTCGGACGTCTGAGGTCCCCAGCACCCTCTGCAAACTACATTTCCTGGGATTATTTGCAGGGAAGCCGCGTGCTTCAAATGCAGATGGAGGATGCGATGTTAAAAAAAGGGTTTTGTACTGGCAAGAGCCAGTTCTGGAAATGGTGACGTCTGAGGTCCCCAGTTTTCCTGGGCGTTGGGGAAATGACAAGCCCTGCAGACTTTGCAGAGGTTAACGCTGTGGTTTTCAAATTATTTGGGGGATGGAGGCGAGGAAAAACAACCGAGTGGGTTTTTTGGTGTCGTTATTTTGCCATCGCAAAGGAGAAAAGTTTGAGGGTCAGGGGAGCGAGGCGCTAAGACGCAGGCAAGGCTGCCCCATCCGATCCTCCAATTTCCACGCAAAGAAATCTCCGTACAAAAATATCACCCCGTGAAATCCCAAAACAATTGCTTGCGCGCCGCCCCCGACCCACCCCAATATGTAGAAAAAAAAACCCCACCTGAGCTCGTTCGTCAAAGACAATTTTCCCCGAGACCCCCCCCCTTGCAAAAAAAGCCCCTGCCAGTGTTACGCGAAAAGATTTCGGGAGGAAAAGTGCAGCCGTATCGCCATCGGAAAACACGCCTGAAGCAACACGCGTTAAGAGGATAACCGCCAAAATAAAACTTACAGAATTTGCTCTATAGATCTGCTTTCGCTTTTTCTTTTTTGGTTGTCTGTTGAGAATAGTATTCCAAAAACAAAAGAAGTTTCTATTTACACACACCCCTGAATTTTCCTTATACTATGTTTCGAGAGCGTTTGGTTTTTTGTAAAAAAGGAAACAACACAAAAACGCAATAGCTAAAAGCTTTCCCACCGCCCACCTCCCCCCCCCGCCCCCTTTTGTAAATGCTGTTTGGGGTGCGGTTTAGAAAAAGGATTTCGTTCTGAGACCACCCTGCACCCTGAGACCGCCTGACGAGAGGCGCCTCTCTGCCACCGCCCCAGACAAAATAAAAATAAAAATACCACACAGTGCAAAAGTGTGAATTCGCATGAGGTAAGGAGTTCTGTGTCTACAATGCATTACGTCAAAAAAAACAAGAGAGCTAAAACCACACAGTGTTTTCCATCTGGCTCAGAAATCGTCGGCGCTCGACGCGCCACCCCCTGCCCTCCAAAATCCAGGCTGAAAAAGCTTTGTTTTCGTTTTTTTGGTTCTTCTATTGATATCTTTAATGCTGGGCATTGGGGGAAATATTTGGTGGAAGCGGGGAGAGAAAGAGGAGGGAGAGATTAGGACCCAGTGGCTCCCCCACCTGTTTCCCCCAAAAGGTTTGGTTATTTTGGTGTCAAGCTGAGATCGGTTGGGATACCTCCCTCCGTTCCCGATTGGGGCAGGAGCAAAACATCTCCCTGCAGCAATGGCAAAGAGGTTCCTTTATTTTTGGGGGGGGGATTTGGGGGACAGAAGATGGCGCCTTCCAGACCCCCCTTGCCGCCCGGGAACAAACAAGGCGCGTGCGTTAAGATCCAGCGGGTCCATCTCTCCCCTCTCTCCGGAAAAACGCCCCCAGGAAATACCCGTCCAGACAGGCGGATAAGGGTCCAAACCGGGGATGTTTTCTCGTCGACCGTGCGTCGCCGGGGGCTTTCGGCTTTGGCAGGACGAAGAGGAGAAGCGGGGAGGGTTTCCTTAAGGCGACGAGGAATTGGTTGAGGTAGACGTCGGCGCAGCGGGGAAAGCAGTCTGCGGGGCGTTGGCGGCCTGCCCGCCCTGCGAGCCGCCGCGGCCGCTGTTGGAGTTTCCTTTGCTGAGAGAGGACGACGGCCCCGGAGTTTGGGCAAACAGCACACCTGGAGGAGGATGGAAGAAGACACTTGGTGGGCCACCGGAACCCTGGACCCGTTCATTCTCACCAACCTAAACACCCGACTGGTCCCTTAATCTCGGTTGCCGTACGACGTTTCCGAGCACAATTCAAAGTGTTGGTGCTGACCTTGAAAGCCCTAAACGGCCCAGTAGACCTGAAGGAGCGTCTCCACCTCCATCGTCCAGCCCTGGACACTGGGTCCATCTCCAAGGGCCTTCTGGCAGTTCCCTCCTTGCGTGAAGTAAGGTTACAGGGAACCAAGCAGAGGGCCTTCTCGGTGGTGGCGCCACCCTGTGCAACACCCTCCCTTCAGATGTCAAGGAAATAAACAACTACCTGACTTTTAGAAGACATCTTAAGGCAGCCCTGCTTAGGGAAGCTTTTAATGTGTAATAGATTATTGTATTTTAATACTCTGTTGGAAGCCGCCCAGAGTGGCTGGGGAAACCCAGCCAGATGGGCAGGGTATAAATAAATTTATTTTATTTTTATTTTATTTTATTATTATTATTATTATTATTATTAGACCCTACAAAAGCCAGGGCTGCCGCCTTTCAGCAATTGCTTTGAGAAGAGATAGGGTAAAGGTAAAGGGACCCCTGACCATTAGGTCCAGTCGTGGCCGACTCTGGGGTTGCGGCGCTCATCTCGCTTTACTGGCCGAGGGAGCTGGTGTACAGCTTCCGGGTCATGTGGCCAGCAGGACTAAGCCACTTCTGGCGAACCAGAGCAGCGCACGGAAACACCGTTTACCTTCCCGCAGGAGCCGTACCTATTTATCTACTTGCACTTTGACGTGCTTTCGAACTGCTAGGTGGGCAGGAGCAGGGACCGAGCAACGGGAGCTCACCCCATCATCGCGGGGATTCGAACCGCCAACCTTCTGATCGGCAAGCCTTAGGCTCTGTGGTTTAACCCACAACGCCACCTGCGTCCCTTTCAATTTTATTATGCAGTGAGAAATATGGGTTCTGCAATGGGGTTTACACCCATCGCAACAGATGCTAAAGAAGGGGAGGAGAATGGCTCATTTGCCGCGCCTGCAAACACATTTTCAACCCTTAGGTGCCACCTATCAGCCTTTGTGGGGACGCGGGTGGCGCTGTGGGTAAAAGCCTCAGCGCCTAGGGCTTGCCGATCGAAAGGTCGGCGGTTCGAATCCCCGTGGCGGGGTGCGCTCCTGCTGCTCGGTCCCAGCGCCTGCCAACCTAACAGTTCGAAAGCACCCCTGGGTGCAAGTAGATAAATAGGGACCGCTTTATAGCGGGAAGGTAAACGGCGTTTCCGTGTGCTGCGCTGGCTCGCCAGATGCAGCTTCGTCACGCTGGCCACGCGACCCGGAAGTGTCTCCGGACAGCGCTGGCTCCCGGCCTATAGAGTGAGATGAGCGCACAACCCTAGAGTCTGGCAAGACTGGCCCGTACGGGCAGGGGTACCTTTACCTTTACCTAACCCAGAAATATTACCTCAGGTTAAGAACTTTGCTTCAGGATGAGAACAGAAATTGCGTAGTAGCAACGCAGCGGCAGCAGGAGGCCCCATTAGCTAAAGTGGTGCTTCAGGTTAAGAACAGTTTCAGGTTAAGTACGGACCTCCAGAACGAATTAAGTACTTAACCCGAGGTACCACTGTATAAGCAAACTATGGTGCCATTTTCCCACCAGGCGCTCTTCAACCTGCTTACGAATTTGAAAAGTTAAGAGCTTATTTTTTAAATTTTTTAACAGCGGCACGGGTCCGCACTGCCAAATCCTGGAAGACCTTCTTTAATCTTTGGGTTCAGAGAGTTGGCAAATAGCCCTCCCGGAAAAGGGCAGAGCTTGAGTTATCATAAAAAAAGGCATTTTATTTCTTATACAAACATTGGGGCACATGGTGTCCCTAGTACATGCAAATTCTGGCTCAATTAAGACTACATTCAGCTTTGATTCTCAATAAAGTTGCAACTCACAGGTGCAGAACGCTTCCATTTTTATATTTATAGCATTATTATTTGCAAAGGGAACATTTGGGTGACTTACAAACCTTACTATCCCTTTGCAGCAGAGCTGCATTTATGTCCTTTGAGGATGCAAACATTATTATTATTATTATTATTATTATTATTATTATTATTAATAATACACTTTACAGTTTAAATCTTTCAATTCGTTGTCTTCTTTCTTTCTGGGATGTTTGCACCAGTTTCAGGTATTTTCTTTTTGCAAACTTTTTTTTAAACAATGCAAAAACCCGTCCTCACCTTTCACCTTACAGGTGTACGTAAGGTAATCTTGCAACCTTCTGAGCTGGCGACCTTAGCAAACTTAAGACTGGGCTATAATTTGGTCTTTTTTTATTTTAGTTTTTTATTTTAATTGGAGTAGTATTATGATTGGATTTATTAATTGGGTGGTTTTTATTGGAAAATCAATACAGTGGTGCCTCGCAAGACGAAATTAATTCGTCCCGCGAGTTTTGTCGCCTTGCGATTTTTTTCGTCTTGCGAAGCACGGTGTCAGGAAAGTTTTGGAAAAGCTTCAAAAACCTCAAAAAGCTTTAAAAACCTCAAAAAAGGTTACCACACCGCGTGCTATGAGTTGCTCCTCGAAGTCAAGTCGCAACTGTATTAACGGTGTTAAGAAAAAGGAAACAAACTTGCAAGACGTTTCCGTCTTGTGAAGCAAGCCCATAGGGGAAAATCGTCTTGCGAAGCAGCTCAAAAAACAAAAAACCCTTTCGTCTAGCAAGTTTTTTGTCTTGCGAGGAATTCGTCTTGCGAGGTACCACTGTAAAAATGATTTATTTTTTTTTAAAAAGAAACCTCTGTTGTCTGAAACCTCCTTTCCAAGGTTCCTTCAACCGGGGTTTACCTGTATAAACAATGCCGTTGAGTTCAACCGACATGTTGATGCTGTTCGTTCCGTTGGTGGCCAAATTCATGGCGGAGTCTTGGCGGTTTTCTGGAAGGCAAAACAGGAGGCGGGTAAGACAGAGGCAGGCAGACAGCCATTTTCCTTCCGGGGGGCGGGGCCAGGGGCAAAAGTGGGCGGGGGAGACATGCAAATTTTCACACCTGTACAGGTGCCTAAGGGACGCGGGTGGCGCTGTGGGTTAAACCACAGAGCCTAGGCTTGCCAATCAGAAGGTCGGCAGTTCGAATCCCCGCAATGACGGGGTGAGCTCCCGTTGCTCGGTCCTTGCTCCTGCCAACCTAGCAGTTCGAAAGCACGTCAAAGTGCAAGTAGATAAATAGGTACCACTCTGGCGGGAAGGTAAAAGCTGTACGTCGGCTCCCTTGGCCAGTAAAGCGAGATGAGCGCCCACTCAGTGCTCACTGGAAGGACAGATCCTGAAGCTGAGGCTCCAAGACTTTGGCCACCTCATGAGAAGAGAAGACTCCCTGGAAAAGACCCTGATGTTGGGAAAGATGGAGGGCGCAAGGAGAAGGGGACGATGGAGAACGAGATGGTGGGACAGTGTTCTCGAAGCTACCAGCATGAGTTTGACCAAACTGCGGGAGGCAGTGGAAGACAGGAGGGCCTGGCGTGCTCTGGTCCAGGGGGTCACGAAGAGTCGGACACGACTAAACGATTAAACAACAACAACAAATGTCCACACACAGATCATTCTCTCTGACCTCCATCTGGGCAAGGCAAGAGATGGAGGATACCTGGCGAGCGAGTCCCTTGGCTGTTGATGCGGATACTCATGGGCAGTTGAGCGGTCATGGCCAGGAGGTTCTGTTGCAGCGCTCTCTGCATCAACCGCTGCTGCTCATCCGTCACGAGAGCAATCTTCTTCTCCGGGGGCTCCCCGGACTCCAGCTTCTCCCGCAGGTGCTCCAGCGCTGCTGCTTGAGCCACCGCCGCCGCCTGGGCCGCCGCAGCTTGGACGGCTTGGGCCGTGATGGCCGGGTGGCCCGCCAGCGAGACGGGCAGGCGGCCGGGCACACCGATGGGGATGGCCGTCTCCTCCTCTGCAGGGGTTGCAAGAACAACAACAAATAGGAAAGCTCCTTTAGCGCAAAGAGATGCAAACAGGTGAGACGGAGAGAGCGATAAAGGGAGATTTTGTTTTGTTTTTTTTAGATAGACAACATATACTATTCTGTTGTCCACTACATGCAGTTTCTCGGATCAGATTTTTGTCCCCTTTATTATTGGAAATCTCAGGTGACTCCTTGGAAACACAGCTAATACATTTATTGCAAGATTCTGATCCGAGTAGGTCCCTTTCTGTTGCCAGATTTCTGATAACAGTATTAGCCTATAAAAGGAAAAATGGATTACTGTATGATTATTGATTTTGCCTAAATAATATTGATTTATACTGATAATTTGATATTTTAAGCGCTATATTGTTCTTATTTTAATGGAATTTAGAAACTTATGGGTTAAGATGTACTTGATTTAAACGTAATTTAATTTATTAATTTTATCTTGTTATACCTGTTTTGCTGTATGATGTATTGAATATGGGCCCATGGCCGTAATAAACTAACTAACTATCTATCTATCTATCTATCTATCTATCTATCTATCTATCTTAGATAGAGAGATAAACTTTATTCGCATTAGCCAACGGCCATAGCAACATAAAACAAGCAATCAAATGATCAAGGGCAATTAAATGACCAAGACTATCGTTCAGATAGTAAAGGTAAAGGGACCCCTGGCCATTAGGTCCAGTCGTGGCCGACTCTGGGATTGCGGCGCTCATCTCGCTTTACTGGCAGAGGGAGCTGGCATCCAGCTTCCGGGTCATGTGGCCAGCATGACTAAGCCGCTTCTGGCGAACCAGAGCAACGCACGGAAACGCCGTTTACCTTCCCGCCGGAGCGGTACCTATTTATCTACTTGCACTTTGACAGGGTGAGCTCCCGTTACTCGGTCCCTGCTCCTGCCCCCCTAGCAGTTCGAAAAGCACATCAAAGTGCAAGTAGATAAATAGGTACCGTTCCGGCGGGAAGGTAAACGGCGTTTCCGTGCGCTGCTCTGGTTCGCCAGAAGCGGCTTAGTCCTGCTGGCCACATGACCCGGAAGCTGTACGCCGGCTCCCTCGGCCAGTAAAGCGAGATGAGCGCCGCAACCCCAGAGTCGGTCATGACTGGACGTAATGGTCAGGGGTCCCTTTACCTTTACACCAACCCGGGAGACCTTTTAGGTTGAAGAGCGGGGCACAAAATGCTCCGGGGTCGTGTGTGGAACCAAACGCGCGAGGCAATAGGCTGCCGTACCTTTTTTGATCTTCGGGACGGAGGCCAAGGAGCTGCCATTAGTGGTCGAGGGCAACCCCAGCGTTGGCACTTGGAGCTTGGGTGAGGACAGCATGCCATGGGTGCCGCTGGGCGAGTACGTGAAGATGGATCCGCTGAACCCTTGCCGGCGACCTTCGCGGCGGTTGCTGTCGATGGCGGCTTGCAGTTCATTGGGGTTGCTCAGACCTCTCTTCTCACACTCGTAGGGGTACAAATACTTCATGTACCTTTCCAGGGAAAAACAGACACACACAAAAATCAACCATTTGTGCATTGTTCGATTCAACGCACACTGCCAAGATGGACAGAGTTGGCCCCCTATTCCAATGGAATAGGACGTCCCTATTTTCAGGGGAGAAACGTTGGAGGGGGTGGAATAGGACGTCCCTATTTTCAGGGAGAAACGTCGAGGGGATGGAATAGGACGTCCCTGTTTTCAGGGGAGAAACGTTGGAGGGGATGGAATAGGACGTCCCTCTTTTCACGGGAGAAATGTTGGAGGGGATGGAATAGGACGTCCCTATTTTCAGGGGAGAAACGTTGGAGGGGGTGGAATAGGACGTCCCTATTTTCATGGGAGAAACGTCGGAGGGGATGGAATAGGACGTCCCTGTTTTCAGGGGAGAAACGTTGGAGGGGATGGACTAGGACGTCCCTATTTTCATGGGAGAAACGTTGGAGGGGATGGAATAGGACGTCCCTGTTTTCAGGGGAGAAACGTTGGAGGGGATGGAATAGGACGTCCCTATTTTCAGGCGAGAAACGTTGGAGGGGATGGAGCTATGCAACCCCCAAGTCAAGGAGATAGGGAAGGTTTTTTTAATGTTTGATGGTTTATTGTGTTTTTATTTGTATTCTGCACACACAAACACAAAACCAGGTGCTTTTTCGAATCTTCTGGCAGCATTTAAGGACAGGCAAGACACTGCTTCTTTTTTTAAGAGAAAGGAAGTCGGGTTTACAGCTACGAAGGAGTTAACAGCCCTCCATCCACTCACCTCCCCCCCCCACCGGCCCACCCCTCCCTCCCCACCCACAAATCCTTTTTCCGCCACCTGGTCCTCTGAATTCCAGACTAATTAACATTAGCCTTGATTAGGGTGGATGTAATAGGTGGGGGAAGCGAATGGCAGAGAAGGAAGAAGGGGAGAGAAAGAGAAAGAGAGAGAGAGGAGGGGGAGAAAGGATGGGGTCAGAATGAGCCCATTCCCCTGCTTCCAAAAATTAAAGGGTGCGTCTCCATATAGAACTATACGTAAATTTCTTCCCAAAGAGCCTTTGATCCACTGGAAACTACCGTATTTTTCGCTCTATAAGACGCACCAGACCACGAGACGCACCTAGTTTTTGGAGGAGGAAAACAAGGGGAAAAAAATTCTGAATCTCAGAAGCCAGAACAGCAAGAGGGATCGCTGTGCAGCGAAAGCAGCAATCCCTCTTGCTGGTCTGGCTCCTGGGATAGCTGTGCAGCTTGCATTCGCCCCAGAAGACGCACACACATTTCCCCTTACTTTTTAGGAGGGGAAAAGTCAGTCTTATAGAGCAAAAAATACGGTAAGCCTTCCTAAAGAATTACGAACCCCCCCCCCAAAAGAAAACAGGATGAAAACCGCCTCCCACCCCACGGCCGAACGTGGAGTCGGAATCTCCTTCCTTCTGACGTGAAGCCACGGGTTCGAGTCCTGCCCTCCAAAGCGGGAAGAAAGAAGCTCGCTCCGTCTTCCGCAGGACAGCTCTTGAGATTTATTTATTTCTGAAGACGGCCCTCCCATCTCCGTTTTCTCCGGCCCCAAAGCGGCACCGCGGCTTTCCGTTTCGGCAGCCGCGACCCTGGTTTAAAGGAGCCGTTTGGCGCCAGGTTTATAGATAATGTCTATATACTACAGAGATATACAGGGGTCCCTTGGTTCTCAAACGCCTTGGTACTCAAACAACTTGGAACCCAAACACTGCAAACCCAGAAGTAAGCATTCCAGTTTGCGAACCTTTTTCGGAAGCCGAACGTGCTCCATTTTGAGTGTTATGCTTCTGATCTGAGCGTTATGCTGAGGTCTGTCTGTTTTTGCTATTTATTTTGCGTTTTTGTGGCTCTTTTTGGTTTTGGTTTTGCGACTGTGCGGAATCCGGTTCAGCTACTGATTGATTGTGTGACTGTAGTACATTGTTTATTGCTTTCATTTTATGGATCAACGGTCTCGTTCGATAGTAAAATCCATGTTAAAGTGCTGTTTTAGGGGTTGTTTTTTAAAAGTCTGGAATGGATCAATCCGTTCTGCATTGCTTTCTATGGGTCTTGGTTTTGGAACGCTTTGGTTCTGGAACGGACTTCCGGAACGGATTAAGTTTGAGAACCAAGGTACCACTTTACCAGTTTGATATACTGTCAAAAGAACTGGTCTGCTACAGCGGTACCTTAAGAACGGAAGTACGTTCTTAAACCGAAACCGTTCCAAAACCAAGGCGCGCTTTCCCTAATGAGGCCTCCTGCCGCCGGTGCCCTTCCACCATTCGGAGTCCGTTCTTAGACCAAGATAAAGTTCTCAAACCGGGACACTATTTCCTGTTTTGCGGAGTTCATAAACCGAATCGTTCTTAAACCAGACTGTTTTTAAGCTGAGGTACCACTATAGTGGTTTGATATACAGTGGTACCTCAGGTTAAGAACTTAATTCGTTCCGGAGGTCCGTTCTTAACCTGAAACTGTTCTTAACCTGAAGCATCACTTTAGCTAATGGGGCCTCCCGCTGCCGCCGCACCGCCGGACCACGATTTCTGTTCTCATCCTGAAGCAAAGTTCTTAACCCGAGGTAATACTTCTGGGTTAGCAGAGTCTGTAACCTGAAGTGTGTGTAACCCAAGGTACCACTGTATTGTCAAAAGAACTGGTCTTCCATTTTAATTGATCGTCTGATTTTATGTTAATGTGTTATACATTTGATGTTAGCCGGTCTGAGCCCGGCTTCGGCTGGGGAGGGCGGGATATAAATAAAAATTATTATTAATATTATTATTCTATATGCCCCGGGCAGCTCAAATAATAATTGCAGATCAACGAAAAACAGGTTTAATTCTGAAAACTGGACTCTGGGTACCACGCACTCTGCAGCTTTGCAACAGAGAAAACTACGCAGGATTTTAGATTCTGACAATTTCACGGGTCGAAAACCACCCTATGAACCGGCAACTGTGCCCCTTTTCTAAAGGGAACTGGGTTTTTCCTAAAGGGTTTCTGGGTTGCGGGGCAAGGCATCAGTATGCGGATGATACCCAGCTCTACCTCTCTTTTAAATCAGAACCAGTGAAGGCAGTGAAGGTCCTGTGTGAGTGTCTGGAGGCGGCTGGAGGATGGATGGCGGCTAACAGATTGAGGTTGAATCCTGACAAGACAGAAGGACTGTTTTTGGGGGACAGGAGGCTGGCGGGTGTGGTAGATTCCCTGGTCCTGAATGGGGTGACTGTGCCCCTGAAGGACCAGGTGCGCAGCCTGGGAGTCATTTTGGACTCACAGCTGTCCATGGAGGCGCAGGTCAATTCTCTGTCCAGGGCAGCTGTTTACCAGCTCCATCTGGTGCGCAGAATGAGACCCTATCTGCCTGCGGACTGTCTCGCCGGAGTGGTGCATGCTCTGGTTATCTCCCGCTTGGACTACTGCCATGCGCTCTCCATGGGGCTACATTTGAAGGTGACCCAGAAACTACAACTAATCCAGAATGCGGCAGCTAGACTGGGGACTGGGAGCAGCCGCCGAGACCAAATAACACCGGTCTTGAAAGACCTACATTGGCTCCCAGTACGTTTCTGAGCACAATTCAAAGTGTTGGTGCTGACCTTGAAAGCCCTAAACAGCCTTGGTCCAGTATATCCGAAGGAGCGTCTCCACCCCCATCGTCCAGCCCGGACACCTGGGTCCATCTCCCGTGGGCCTTCTGGCGGTTCCCTCACTGCGAGAAGCCAAGTTACAGGGAACCAGGCGGAGGGCCTTCTCGGTGGTGGCGCCCTCCCTGTGTAACGCCCTCCCACCAGATGTCAAAGAGAACAACAACTACCAGACTTTTAGAAGACATCTGAAGGCAGCCCTGTTTAGGGAAGCTTTTAATGTTTGATGTATTACAGTATTTTAATATATATTTTTGGAAGCCGCCCAGAGTGGCTGGGGAAGCCCAGCCAGATGGGCGGGGTATAAATAATAAATTATTATTATTATTATTACTTACTGAGTGCGCAAGGTGAAGGCCGCACTGGTGATGGACGTGGGCAGGTTCAGCCCCTTTGTGATCTCCCGCCAGAGCTTCTTGTTGATCACCTCCACCAAGCCGCCCTTCTCGGTCACCAGGACATAGAGCATGTACAGATCGAGGACCTGCTTGGCCATGATGGGTATGCGGTTGACCGGCGTCCCTGCAGACGAAAAGAGAAAGGAACAAAAATAGCAGTTGGGCGGGGGCCGAATCGCAGCCTCGCTCACTGGCTGAAGCTGACCGTGGCGGCGGCGAAAGTCTCTGTGCTTTCCGATAACTCTCCTAAAGACTGCGGCAACCGAATTCGGCACGGAATCACAGAATCGGAAGGGAACTCCAGGGCTCATCGTAGCCCATGGAGGAATCTCAGCTAAAAATATCCATGACCAATAATAATAATAATAATTTATTATTTATACCCCGCCCATCTGGCTGGGTTTCCCCAGCCACTCTGGGCAGCTTCCAAAAATACAATAACCTATTAAACATTATAAAGCTTCCCTAAACAGGGCTGCCTTCAGGTGTCTTCTAAAAGTTTGGTAGTTATTTTTCTCTTTAACATCTGGTGGGAGGGCGCTCCACAGGGCGGGCGCCACCACCGAGAAGGCCCTCTGCCTGGTTCCCTGTAACCTCACTTCTCGCAGGGAGGGAACTGCCAGAAGGCCCTCGGGAGATGGACCCAGGTGTCCGGGCAGAACAATGGGGGTGGAGATGCTCCTTCAGGTCTACTGGACCATTTAGGGCTTTCAAGGTCAGCACCAAGAATTTGAATTGTGCTCGGAAACGTACTGGGAGCCAATGCAGGTCTTTCAGGACTGGTGTTATGTGGTCTTGGCGGCCGCTCCCAGTCCCCAGTCTAGCTGCCACATTCTGGATTAGTTGCAGTTTCCGGGTCACCTTCAAAGGCAGCCCCACAGAGAGCGCATTGCAGTAGTCCAAGCGGGAGATAACCAGAGCATGCACCACTCTGGCCAGACAGTCCGCAGGCAGGGAGGGTCTCATCCTGTGTACCAGATGGAGCTGCCCTGGACACAGAATTGACCTGCTCCTCCATGGACAGCTGTGAGTCCAGAATGACTCCCAGGCTGCGCACCTGGAAGCTTGTTGTGAAATGATTCCATCAAAGCCTTTAAAAGTTCCTTTCATTTTTATTTTCATTACAACTGCTGCTGCTATGACGGACCAGACCAGAAAGTTCGGGTTACGAGGCGAGATTCGAACCGGCTGCTCCCTCGACTCGCCCCTCGAGTTTCTGAGCCGCGGGGCACAGTCTCCGCCGGCAGAACCAGGCATGCAATGGCAAAATCAGAAGGGCAGGTTCCCTTCCTGATATAATTAGACAATTGTAAGGATTAGGGAGGCATTGCAGTGATTAATGTAGACCGC